AACTTGGACACTTGTTCCAAATCTTAGTCACTGCCATTTTCCTTTTACGGAAGCATCCGAGTACTGTAAGATGCTTCAGTCCAAAAGGAAGCTGGATTGTGAGAACAAACCCGATTGTAAAGTTGCAAAATGTGGTCATTTAGAATTAGACCAGTCATTTTCTTCTGGTCTAATTCTTCTGTTACATCCCTTGTGTTGTCCTGTGTGTGTGGTTGTAGCTTTTTGGTTTTTGTAAATAGGCTTTACTGTGGCAGGATGGGTGGCTGAAGGCGTTGGAAATGAATTTGGTATGGCTGGTTAACACCTCCACCTTGGTATTGCCTCAGATTTCTCTGCATCAAAGTCCTATTGGGGAGTGTTGCTCCTACAACCTACCTCACTAAACTGTGTTGGATGGGTCTAAATATGTAAAGGACCAAACTGCAGTAGTAGAGTGTATAGAGATCATTATATCTTTGCATTGTTCAAAAAATGCCTGTCTTTTTGTTGGGTGGGTTTGGATGTGGGGTTTACATTGGTCAGTGCTATTTTTTTAAACAAATTTATTACAAATGTGATGATTATTAACCTTTTTGAGACAGAAGCCATGTATTAAATGTTTTCTACATTGGACTCTGCATAGTATTTATTTTAATGGTCTGAAATAAAGGTTCCCATTTTTAACATCCTAAGCTGACTCTTACTAGTTAATTGCGATTAAGTTACAGTAAGTCTATGGTTTCATCTGGTACAAATGTGACAACTCCAAGTGTAAATTCGTGGATCCTGTCCTGGTTGAACTTGTTTTACTTGGTTCCCTTTGGAAGCTCAACGGCGAATAACTTTTTCTATTTTTATTGCTTTATCAGCATTTCAATCACTGTCTTTCAGCATTCAAACTGTTTGATCAGTTGTAGGGTTAGATGGCAGACTTGGAAAAATGTCCAGTATTATCTGAATCCGTAATTAAGGACGATGGGAACGAAGTTTGTCATTTGGTCACCAGTGGATCCTCTGCAGTGAATGGTAGCTGTCGGGATTAAGAGTTCAAACAGTTGATTAAAAGCATCCAAGTAATCCACAATGTCTTGTGAAGTGAAATGCTGTGTTGAAACCGGATGCGTAAATGTTCAGCAAATCTTCATTTTGGGGTCGGGTATACTTTTAAAAATAACATTTTAATTTGCATGTACAAATGACCGTCCATATAAATTGCGTCGTTTTAACCTACACCTTTGATGCATATTTATCAGTCATATAAAACCGTCCGATTTATGTCATGATACTAATAATCAATGTTTTTTTTAAAGACCCAGTATCCAGTTTTATATATTAAAATTATCAACTAATTGAATCTAGCTTGTTCCACAGCCAGCCATATTTAAATAATCGTTATACATTTTTACGAATTAAATTGAATTTTCACAAAGATTTATAGTAATGGCTAAGAATTTTGTATGAATATATTTGAAAATATGATAATGTAAGTAAATTCCAACCGATGGACATAAACTATGCCGTGATTCATTTTTCTATTGTGTGTAGTTTCAAAGATATGTAGTCTACATTTTGTTAGATACTTGGATGATACTTGCAAAGCAGTGCCAACTGATCACAAGTGTCAGAATGATCTTATGTTACGATGTTATGTTACATTAACAAGCATTTGCACTTTGATCAATAAGTTAAATGTTATGTTAAATCTTATTCGTTGTAACTAAAGCTATTCTCATTTGGGCAAAATTAAACTATTGCTTCTTGTTCGATAACCATACTTAATGAGGTATTTAATCACCACGTTATTATATCATTATGGTAAATCCGGTACCCATTTTACTGTGAAGAACTCCTGAGAGATGCACCTCATGAACCAAGAGCCAAGAGATCGTTCTACAGCTCTTTCAATGGCAAGTTCTGAGTGCGTCCACCAGATGGCAGATCTATACACCATCTGGATCCACAGGAGAGAAAGGAGCTTTCAGCTGTGCCACAAACTCGGGACGCATAATAATCAGATTGGCCTTGTCATTCCAGCACACGAGGATGTATTAGGAAATGTTCTATTCACACGTATGTGAGCCAATAGTTATCCAAACTCTCAGAAGGCCTGTGTCATTACAATTCCACGGCTGCAACTTTTGATCACTTCAGCGAGATCGCTCCACCAACATCCCCTGACATAATGCATGGGCCCTCATTCACTTGTCCATCACGCAAACACTATGTTAATTCCCGCATCATGTACCCCTGTCCCACGTCCCCTTCATTCAATTCATTGTACCAATCCCCTCTTTCCTGCCCTTTTATACCCACAGTCTTCTTTTCCAACATTCTTCCTCCTATCACAGCCCTCCATCGGAGGCATAACAACCTCTCCCCTCCATCTCACCGAGGGCTATACACCTTATGAGAAATGTTTTGATTATGTGCGCTCAGTGTAGGTGGCCCGCCGAACACTTTCATGGTCTGCATGGTAACCCCCCTGCCACTTCCCCCACTCCCCCTGCTGGGCGCATGATTGTGGGCTCAGGGATTATGCGAGCAGGAGGCTCGTAAAGGGCCTGCCAGGGTCTTTCTGTGCAGTGACGGATGGCTAGGAGACTGAAGCCTCCATTTACATAAGAAGGGAGAGAATAGAGGCCCCATTCACTCGGTCTGTCAGGGAGGACTCAGGGACAAACTGCACTCTCTCCAAGTTGCCCTCTTCCCCTCTCAGTCTCTCTTTTCTTCTTTATCTTTGCCATTCTCCCTTCTCCTCAAGCTTTTCCTCATCCGTCCTCCTTTCTTTAGGCCATTGTAATTTATTGTGAACTCAGTCTCATCATTTTTAGGCCACTTCATTTACTCTATTGGATTTCCTAATTCAAATCAAAATGTCATATTTGCCCCAATGAATGACATAGCATTTAAACTTTCATTGTTCACAGATTAAAACAAAAACTCAAAAAGGTATTAATACACTACAATATATTCTAATTAAAATTTTTCTGAATGCTTGAGTCCAAATATTGTTTAAAAAAACATCAAACAAAAACTGTTAAAGCCTTATCAAGTTTTTTTTTTGTTTGTTTGTTTCTTTTTTTCTTTCTTTTTTACCCTCCAAACCCTTTTTTTACCTTTATTTATTTGCAATTATAAAGATGTTACATTTATTCACAAATTTTGTTGGAGCAAGTGATGATTAAATTTACTATTTACAAAAGAATAATAATAATAATAACAACAAGGCTAAGTTCTAGAAATTCACTGTCCTTTTAAAAATGCATAACAAAGTTTCTATGTAAAGTTCTTGTCAAATCAAGGAAGTGTTCAAATATTTAATCAGGATTCTCCTGTTTCTAATACAATGACTTTCTTATTCTAATGAAACTTTCTAATAAGCTTTCTTGAAATTTTCTGATGATCAAAAACAATTTTTTTATTTATAATTCATATTTCAGAAATCATAAAACATAATGATGTTAACATTGTAATTTGTATAATTAAGGTAGTTTTTTTTTAATATAACAAATTGTTAATTCAAAAAAGGAAATTATAATTTATATTTCAATAACTATAATTAAATAGGTGGACGAATGCATGCACGCACGCACGCACACACACACACACACAAACAAAAGGAAGAACAAGTAAGCAAAAACAATCTAGCCGCAATATTTATTTAGTTCAGTCAGAGAACTCATGTTGATTCTCCCTTACAGGTTGATTCAGGTAGCCGTGTTTGAGCAGCAGAGCCCAGCTGAATGGGTGGTTATCTTTTGTGTGCGCTTTGGAAAAACAACTGTGTTGTAACTTGTTTTGGACATACATATTCAAACCCATGAAAACACTGGTTTAAAAAAAAGCCATACAATAGTCATAGAGAGGCATGTGAAGCACATGTGTATGCAAACATGAGGGCTTTAAACGACCTGTGTTTGTTTAGGGGCCAGCCTTAACATTTCGGAGAAATTCTCTGAGCTGTCTTGGTGCTGTCACAAACCAACTGGGAGAAAGAAAGAGGATGGCAGAACGAGTTGGGCACTCTCCATAAGAGGTTTTCTGTTTGTCCAAAACATTTTTTTGGATATGGTTATACAAGAATGAAGCCCCACAATTTGTGGTTTGATTGGCATAAAGGCGTAACTGTCAGTCACGAACAGAGGCAGCTCACATGGTTCACAACGCACCTGCAAACTCACAAGCACTCACACCTGTGTCTACAAAAAAAGAGAAAGAAACAACATAAAGCTTTGCACCCACACCTTTTCTCAAGCAATTACGAACACAGAAAATCCCACACCTATAGAAAGTCACATGCCATAAATTGTCATCAAAAGGGAGCAATGGCACATTGCTGTATGATGACTTGAAAACAAGCATCTAATTATATATTGTGTGTAAAAAGAAAAAAGAAAATCACAAATTTACCCAGAAAACATATAAAGCTCACACAAGATTTAAACAAAATTACTTAACACAATTTACACAGTGGAATAACAACTGATTCATATAACAATAAAATAATACACTATTGTTTTATTTGATAATAGTGTATTATTAAAAATAGTTTCAAATAACACACTTTAAAATAACTTTTGCAATGCACTGCTAGTTTCCTCAGGCCAGTCTTTTTCCCATGACCCCAGGGTGACAGGGTTAGGAACTAACAATAGAAGACACAGAAAGTGTAAAGGTGTAAAGTGAAACTAATGAAGTCATAGAAAGTGATTCAAAGAAAGCAGAAAGCAGGTCCAAAATTACACAACATTTATGTGTGCATCTTTTAAAAGTTCGTTAATAATAAAAAAGAGTGTATTAAAAATACTCCATGAACATATCTACTACAATATGTAATAATTAATAGTAACAGATAATTAGTGCTCTTTAAACAACAAACTAAGCCTCGATTTCGCTCTAACCTCTTGCAACAAGTGATCTGCGACATAAAAACACCACACCCCTACAATTGATATGCAAATGAGCAAATGGTTGCGTTGAGCGCTGATTGGTCAGACGTGGAATACAATTATACAATTGGTTCAACTTGACTGCAAACTATTGCGGCTCAACAAGTGGCTTGTGGATAGAGTTCAGCAGAATTTAGACAAACAGCTGTGATTGAGGAGCTTTTCGCGCCCTTTTTACTATATTTTGTTTGAAAAACTTGTTCTAAATGTTTTGATTCATCGTGGAGTTCTTTTTTGACTGCTGCTGTTTGGCCAGACAATCCCGACTGTAGCCTAAAGAGACTTCACCTGCGCCGGATTTGTTTGAGCTGATTAGGTTCGCTTGGACACTTTTAATTGGCTGCCTTACACATTGAGCGCTTGAAACTCAAAGTGTGTAGTGGCATGATGTACAGCATGATGGTGGAACATGAACTGAAGACCGCGGGTCAGCCTCATCCCCACCACAACAGTCCAGGGATGTCTCCTCCGGTCAGCGGGGTTGGCCACGGATCAAACACCTCTTGTCCACCCGGCGGGGACCCCATGGACAAAGTGAAGCGCCCCATGAATGCGTTTATGGTGTGGTCCCGGGGTCAGCGGAGGAAGATGGCACAGGAGAACCCCAAAATGCACAACTCGGAGATAAGCAAACGCCTCGGGGCGGAATGGAAACTTTTAACGGACACCGAGAAGCGGCCGTTCATCGATGAGGCCAAACGGTTGCGGGCCGTACACATGAAGGAATACCCCGACTACAAATACAAACCTCGGCGTAAGACCAAAGCTCTCCTCAAGAAGGACAATCCCGTCGGTAAATATCCTCTCGCAGCCGGCAACCTGCTGGCATCAGCCGTGGCACAGGGACAAGGTGGGAGCCCGAGAATGGACGGCTATGGCTGGGGTCACACCGCTGGTTATATGGCAATGCAGGGTGAAGCACTCGGATACCCGCAACAGCTGCACCGGTACGACCTGTCGGCTCTCCAGTACCCGTCGGCACAGACGTACATGAACGGCGCCAGCTCTTACAGGTTTCTTTTATCAAAGTTTGTCATTTACTTATTTTTTAGGTTTAGGGTGGCTTGACAATCTGTGGAACTGGAAAACTAGTGGTGGGGGGCGAACGCGCACAGAAATTCATGTTAACCAGTTCGGATTTCATTCTGCGTAAATTTATGAAGAGGAGTTTAAGAATCGTTCACTTTAAATTGTTTCATTAGATAAGATTTAATATAAATTCTAGTATGTATAATTACTTTTACTTTTTATTTAGTTTAAGAGTTTTGAAGATGGCATTTCTCAGACTAATGGTTTTTGTGCTGAATGTGCTCAACTTGCCACTTAATTTGATCCTCAAAACCGCTCACCTATTGAAGTTGTCTATAATCTCGTTATAAACGCACATTTATTCATTATTTGCCTATAAATGTAATCTCAGAGTCACCACAACTAAGCTGGCTTAACCTGTATAGACCTGTTATTTGCTTGTCAGCATTACTGGGAGCAGATGCAGAGGCGTTTTATGTGAGGAAAGATACGGATTCTCCATGCTGCTCTTGTCTGTCTGATTTCCTAATATTTTTTTTTGTTGCTATCGTGGCTAATTTTGTCTGTCTTTTTTTTTTTGTCCACAGCCAAATGTCATATAGTGGCAGCCCTCAGCAGCCCAGCCCAGTGATGTCTATGGTTAAACCAGAACCACTATCCCATTCGCCTACTGGCCACCACCGTGGGGCTTTCCAAGGGGACCTGAGGGACATGATTAGCATGTACATTCCAGGTGGTGATACCAGCGACAGCTCAAACCAGAGAACCTACCCTGGTGTCCAACAGCACTATCTTGGTGGAACTGTTCCCCTCACTCATATCTGAAGTTTAGGGAATGCTCCCTGAACTCCTATTAGTTGGACCCTTATTGGGACCATAGTGCTACAAATAGACTGTATGGATTACTGAATACTTCTGATTGTTTACTACCTCCTTGCTGTGAATGATCTGAAGTTGTCTGTTGAACCTGTATAGCAAATTTAGCTGTTTCAGTTTCTTGTTTTCTGTCTTTGCAACTGTTCACACTATGACCAGGCGTAACTTCTTAAACTTCTCATCACATTAAGCTTAAGTCAGCTTGCACAGCCATCCCTTCTCTTTGTTCCACGAATAGATAGATTTTCCTCAAGTATTCTTTTCCGTGTTCTGCTCCGTGCAATGTTTAGAACATGCGTTGTTCATGCAGCAGTGGGCAATCATTATTCAAAGTCTAATTGGGGTACAAAACAGGGCGAAACCGCATATTGGGAACTCCAAGGTCCAAAACAGATCCGCTAATAATGGTTGCAATGGCCAGTGATGGACATACCATGTGACCTTGAGGAGAGTAAAAATTTAGTTTTGTGAATCTGGTTTCCCCCGGATGTGTACCCAAACTGGCTCAGCACATGGAATAACTGAGTGATGGGTTAAGTTGACCTTTTAAGTGTCTTTAAATTTGGGTATTGATCTAGTAAAGTGTTTTGGAAAATCTCAGGGCTTTCTTGAAATAAATAGCAGGACATGACCGTATAGATCAGCTGTAACTTTGCCTCATATAATTAGAAATCCTTAGAACTGTTACCCAATTTGCAATGGAGAGGAGAAAAAAAGTCATTCAGTCACTATCTGCTTTGTTTTCCTACTTTTAATAGCTGTAAATTCATATGTACCGTTCCAGTGTGCACGTACGTTTGTGAACTAACTTTTTTGTTTGTAGTCTCTACAAGGAAATGGCACTCCTGTAAATGGTGAATTTTTGCCATATTTACCGATTGCTAAATGTTTAGTTTGTCTGGCCTAGAGTTCCAGCATTTCCCTCTTATGGGTCAAACTCAATTGCACTGATCTTCGCTGTCAGTCAATGCACTTCATTAGACTAGGAGTTTATCGACTAATCACCTGGTCATTCTCATTCTACCACAGCATTAAGTCTGCTTCTGCCATTACAGTACGGTTGACCAGTGAGTTCAGTGGACTTGACTGAATATTTCTTTTGGCCACTTTTTTTCAACCCCCCCCACCCCCACAGTGGCCTTGGTCCTTTGTCAACAAAATGCAAAGTTATGTCAGTCTTGAGGTTTGTTTTGAACTCAAACTGTGCTGGTGGCATTTTGTGGCAGTCAAAAATGTAAGTTTGTCAGTCCGGCTCATTGTTGCCACAAAGCTTGTTCAGTTAGTGTTTTGGTTAATTAAATGATTTAAGCACAATGAAAAGTTTACATTGCCATTGAAGTGAGTTTGCAGCTTGCTGTTTAATTTTTCTTTTTTAAAAAATGGTTTTAATCTTGGTTGTAAATACCTTTTTGTACAGTTTTTTTTTTGTGTGGCTCTTCTAAGGGCTGTTCTTACAGAATAAAAAATGACAACTCAACATCTAGTCTCAAGTTGTGATTATTTTGAAATGAATATTTATGTAATTTCCAAGTCGCGTGCAACTCGAATTCTTTCATTTTTGGACCTTCAGTATCATGACAATAGTGTTATCAATCACATTGATGGACAAAGGAACTACTATTTGCATTCAGTCATGGTCAGTTTAATGCGAGAGAGTGTCTGGTACTACCAAGATTAAAATGAGTATTTGTGATCTCAACATGGTGACCTGCTCCATGTAAAATAAAGCCATTTATATTACCGCTATTATTTATTTTTCACAATTTACAAACAAATGTAAAATGCATTTGAGGCCAAAATCCTTACCCTACCTCACGTGTTTATTATTAGTGTGACAGTGTATGTTTTTAAACATCAAGAATGTATTTCATATTTTTGTTAAAACATCTAAACTATTTTATTTAGACTTAAGATTTGTAATGCGGAAAAATAATGAGTCCTTTAAATGTACCGTTTAGGGAAAAAATATTAATAACTTCTAAAAACTTATTTAAAATAAAATAGTTTTAATTATACGTTTGTGTGGTAAAAAAAAAGTTTGAGACGAGGGTTCAATATAGAGAAAACAGCCAGAAAGGAGCGATTTAAGGGATCTACTTTCACTGTCCACCTCAGCATAACCCTTTCTCTCCAGATTGAAAACTGGTTGTTGTCTCGGTCGTAATTGGGCGTTTCGGAGGCACATTGTCCGTTGCCTTTGAGCTCGCAGGTGTACGTAGTAAGCCGCTGAATCCGGAGAGGCTCCCAGTCAAAAATGTAAGTTTGTCAGTCCGGCTCATTGTTGCCACAAAGCTTGTTCAGTTAGTGTTTTGGTTAATTAAATGATTTAAGCACAATGAAAAGTTTACATTGCCATTGAAGTGAGTTTGCAGCTTGCTGTTTAATTTTTCTTTTTTAAAAAATGGTTTTAATCTTGGTTGTAAATACCTTTTTGTACAGTTTTTTTTTTGTGTGGCTCTTTTAAGGGCTGTTCTTACAGAATAAAAAATGACAACTCAACATCTAGTCTCAAGTTGTGATTATTTTGAAATGAATGTTTATGTAATTTCCAAGTCGCGTGCAACTCGAATTCTTTCATTTTTGGACCTTCAGTATCATGACAATAGTGTTATCAATCACATTGATGGACAAAGGAACTACTATTTGCATTCAGTCATGGTCAGTTTAATGCGAGAGAGTGTCTGGTACTACCAAGATTAAAATGAGTATTTGTGATCTCAACATGGTGACCTGCTCCATGTAAAATAAAGCCATTTATATTACCGCTATTATTTATTTTTCACAATTTACAAACAAATGTAAAATGCATTTGAGGCCAAAATCCTTACCCTACCTCACGTGTTTATTATTAGTGTGACAGTGTATGTTTTTAAACATCAAGAATGTATTTCATATTTTTGTTAAAACATCTAAACTATTTTATTTAGACTTAAGATTTGTAATGCGGAAAAATGAGTCCTTTAAATGTACCGTTTAGGGAAAAAATATTAGTAACTTCTAAAAACTTAAAATAAAATAGTTTTAATTATACGTTTGTGTGGTAAAAAAAAGTTTGAGACGAGGGTTCAATATAGAGAAAACAGCCAGAAAGGAGCGATTTAAGGGATCTACTTTCACTGTCCACCTCAGCATAACCCTTTCTCTCCAGATTGAAAACTGGTTGTTGTCTCGGTCGTAATTGGCCGTTTCGGAGGCACATTGTCCGTTGCCTTTGAGCTCGCAGGTGTACGTAGTAAGCCGCTGAATCCGGAGAGGCTCCCTTGGACCACTTTGTTCTCTTTTCTCGCTTCCCGCTGTGCGGAAAATTAGCGTTGCCGTCGTTTCTCCCCGTTTTCTCCTCGGGTTTAACCCCCTCACCTCCTAATGTCATTCTCATGAAAATGTAGGAGTTCGCTGCGGCTAATCGGAGGGCGAAGGGAGGGGGGCTGTGAAGAGCGTGTAGGCTGTGTTACTTTACATTTACCTTGATTACAGTTCAGGCGGGTTTCCAAGTTAGATTAAGTAAATAATTATTATAATTTTTTGATAAAAATGTTTAAAGGAAGAAAGTTAAGCCCACTGTTTTTTTAAAGAGCTGCGCGTATCGTCAGACAACTTGTGACTGTGCCGGGAGGGTTAAGAGGGCGAATGTGGATGTCGAGATGGGTGGGGGTGCTGGATGTTCTGCTGAGAAACATACAATCACTTAGCAACGACCAGTGAGGCTTCAACAAACTGTTACCATGGTAAATTGTGGGTTTTGCCAGTTTGCAGATTAAGGCCAAAATTCGATGTCAGAGAATTGACTGAATGAGCACAATATTTTTGGTATGTTTTTAGCAGGTTCATTTGCTGAGTCGCGTTTTTTTTTATTACAAAAAAAAAAAGTTTAAATAAAAAACGTAAAAAATTATTTGACAGCCTGTTGCAACATTAATGGTTGCCCTGGAAACTGGGGGGTGCGTAATATTTACATGCATTCCGAGGGAGCCGCTCCCCTCCTGCACGCACACACGCACGGGCTTCACTGCCCAACAGGTGAAAATAAAAACTGCGAATATGAAGAACCTGGTGATTGTGGGTATGAATTGGCAAATTTACTGTGACATTTAGATATTTGATTTGATTTCAGTTATGCAAAGGAAATAAAAAGTATATGTAGCCTGTGTTCTACACTAGCAGCATGTTGCATTTTTGTCCATAACAATTTTTTGTCTCACACTCATGTTGCGTTGTTGTCAGCATGTTTTGTTTATGGCCATTATGGTTGTCTTAAAATGTCTTAAGCTATACATTCTCAGTAGCCTATATTCTTTAGTAGCCTATTTATTTTCATTTCTGTTTCACAGGAAAACAACAGCTTGAGGGTGAGTAAATAATATCATCATTTTCATTTTTGAGTGAGCTATTCCTTTAAGAAGACTATATGCTAAATATTTAATTTTCAATCTGTCCACAGGCCTAAAGCGTGTTGAATCACTCGCTTGTACGATGACTTGTCAGTCGTACCTCAGACGTTGTGTGTGCACAGGTGAGTGAGTGGGCGTAAATTGTTCTTCCCTTTTTTTTTTGAACCGAGTCGCTACGGTTGGTTGAAATGCCACCAGGGCTGGATACACGCATGTGTGTGAGTCAGCCTAGATGAGCACTGCCTGTCACGCAATAACAGGAGGGGGGCCGACTCATCCGATAACAGTCTATGTTGTGTCTGCCACATGTCAAATGTAATTTAGGCTAATAATATGAAACCTGTTTAAAAAGAAAAATCTGTTTGTGTATGCTTTACACAACACGTGTTGTGTTGTGTGCACAGACAAACAGCATAAAAAGTAAAAGATAAGAGAACAAAAAACCAAGGTAGGCTAAAGTGACAAATCTGCACACCAGGCGGGACATTTCTGCCAAATCTATCAACATCCTGTATCTTGAGCTATCTTTTAAAATCAAGAGTTGGATGCTATTTTAAGTTGGAGTAGGTGTGTACCTCATACATTTTTCACTTTATGTATTCAGAGGGAAATAAAATGAAACACGAATTCCAGCTTGTCAACAAAACATATCTACATCAAAAGACTGGCATAAGGCCAAAGCAGTAGTCTACCTGTCTGCATAGCTCATATACAGTAGTTGGCAATGTCCCCGGTAAAATTAGTTATTTTGGATAAGACAACTGTAATACCCCTATATAAATTAGTTTTGTGTCGTAATGAATTTTAAAAAGCTGAAGAGGAAGTTTAATATAGTGTGTTATTACTTGAAACTTTAAAAGACTAAAATGCTACCGTAAAAAAAACATGTTCATTGGTTAACACTATGTTCCCTTACTATACAGGAAAACTGTAATGGATCTTATTTAAAGTGAAAGGCTGTAGACTGACATTCCCAGAATTCCCTGGGTGACA